GCAGCGGGCCCGACGGTGCGCACCCCCTGATGGCGCGGGCCGACCTGGACGAGCTGCTGGTCCGCGCCACGTTCTCCTCAGTGCCGCTGGCGGCCAGCATCAGCGCAGTCAGCCTGGAGGTCGCCCAGCCCGGACCCTCAGAAGGACCCCGGGCCCTCGAGGTGGAGGAGTGCCGCTGCCCCCCGGGCTATGTGGGCTTGTCATGCCAGGTGAGTGTGGCCCGCCTGGGCAGCGGTCATGGCCGCGCCATGATGGCCGTGCACTCGGCATGGTCTCATTCTTCCTCTCAACAGCCCAGACACGTGCAATCATCCCCTTTGACGTATGGAAAAATGGCTGTGCTGAGGGGCCCGTGACCTGCCCGAGGGCAGCGGGAAGTGGCTGACAGCAAAGCCTCGCATGTCCTAACCCCGGACAGCGCTGCCTCGTGCAGGCTGCAGTCCCCAGAGGGGAAGACCCTTCTCTGGCCCTCAGGGTCCCTGCCAGAGTTGAGGGACAGAAACATCCAGGGCAGAGCACGGAGACATCTCCGAGAGGCGACCCATGTGGGTGGCGGGAGTGCAGGTCGGAGAGCAGAGCACCAGAGGCTCCCCAGGAGGAGTAGTGGGGAACGACCTGCGATGCTGCAGGGTCGCCCCAGGAAACCAGGAGGACCCAGTCTCCTAAGTGTGGAGCAGGCGCCCACGGTGGGCAGACCAAGCTAAGGGCCAGGACCACTCCTCTGTGGAGTGAACAAGATAGACAGGCAGGGGGCAGGCGTCCCGTGTGGAGGGGAGGGCAGTGCACGAGACAGAGCATCACTCGGACGGCCCTCAGGACAGCCTCCAACGGCCGCTGCAGGGCTGGCTGGCCTTGGGAACGCTGGGAGGGCAGGAGTTCCCCACTGGCACACTGCAGGCTCCCAGTTACTGTGCGGAGAATGGCTATGGAGCCAAGGGAAGGAGGGGTCACCAGAGGGTGTCAGGGAGGTCGGGCGTGGGTCAAACAAGCCCCCCAGTTTTATATCCGGCATCTTCTCTGGAGCTTCGAGCATTTTGAAATTGAAATACATAAATCTCATGCTCTGCAAAGTCACAAAGTCTAACGCATCTCGGAGGAGGAGGAACCTTGGGAAAGAAAGGCAAAATCCTTGGCACACATTTTTGGAGCAAACAGAACAGATTTATGAACCTCCCTTTGAAGTCCCTGGGAGGCGGTCTGGGGAGGTTTCAAAGAAGAGGAGACAATGGAAATGCATTGTTTTCGGAGCCACGAGGATGGGCACAAACGTCCCTGTGCACACTGCCAGTTTCACTTGATTTAAGGAACACAAACAGCTCTGAGGGTCCTCGAGGGCTCGTGCTAAATCTCCCTGTCCTGAACCTGCTTTTTCCAGTTAGAGGTTGAGTTTTTCAATAAAGTCCCTTCCTGCCAGAAGAACCTGAGGGGACAAAGTCCCAGGAATGGGGAAGGGCCCCCCCATAAGGATGAAATAGTGTTTCACTAAATTCTGAAAGGCTGAAGATGCCAGGCAGGGCGGGAAGAGGCACTCCCCAGCTCTGGAGCCTCGAGAAAGGGAGGAAGAAAAATGGAGGCTGACGGCCATCGAGGAGGGGCTCCTGGGATGGAGGGTTGGGTCCAGGATTCCTCTCCAGGAGCCAGTGGGAGTCTGGGTGCTGGGGCAGGGCTGGAGAGAGTGGGGTTCAGGGTCTCCTGGCCCTGGATGGGGAACTGGAGACCCGCCCTCCCATCTGCAGGACTGTGCCCCCGGCTACACGCGCACTGGGAGTGGGCTCTACCTCGGCCACTGTGAGCTGTGTGAGTGCAACGGCCACTCGGACCTGTGCCACCCGGAGACCGGGGCCTGCTCGGTGAGATGCAAGCAGGGCCTGGCAGGTGCCAGGGCTGGGTGCAGGGCAGGGAGGACTGGGCTTGGTAAGTAGGCCTGGGTCCAGGACAAGGCCATGGGGCACGGCCTGTGACTACAGGCTGGGTCCCGAGGTGGCTCCAGGCCTGGTGAGGTGGCCAGAACTATGGCATCATGCCCTTCTTTGTAAAGAATAGTTTGGTTCTTACTGTTTCTTATCACCAAAGTGGCACCTGTTCTCTGCAGAGGAGTCTGACCGCAGAGCTAATTAGACTGAGAAACCACAAAGTGTAATCTCCTGGGAACCAGCAGTTAGTGTAATGGCTATGTCGCTGGACTCCCACGTAGTCAACCGCGGTTCGCATCCCGGACCCGGTGGGTTAAAACTCACGCCGGGCGCGTGTGTGTGCGTGCCCAAGATCCCGGGAGGAGAAGGGATTGCGGTGTGGCCATCCCCCCTGGGGGGTGATTTCTCGCTTTCTGTCTCTCTGTCTGGCGAGCGCATGCTCCCTATAGCAAAAATCTCTCCCCCCCAAAAAAAAGGTGTAATCTCCTTATTCGGTCCCCCAAAAATCACTGTGAGGCTTAGTGTGGGGTCTCTCCTCCTTTCCAGGCAAGTATATGCACACATTAACGCCTTTCCTGGTTTTCTTTTTCTTTTTGCTATGGGTTGTGTGCACTCACCAGACAGAGAGGAGAAGTGAAAAATGGCCCCCGGGGCGTGGACACAGTGCAGTGCCTCCTCTTCTCTCAGGACTTTGGCCACACATACCCCAGGCTCCCAGGTCTGGACCTCAAACCACACAGCCAGCCACGTGGGATCCAGCCGCCTTAACCTCCATGCCGCTGGCCGGCCCCACTCACTTCTTGTTATAGATGGACATACAGCCGCCGTGCTTGGCAGTCACTCTCCTCAGTTACTTGTTCCTGAGCATCTCTCTACCGTGTTTTTTCCTACCCAGACTTTCCAAACACGTGCGCACACGGTCCAGGTCCGGTGGCCAGCAGAGCCCTCGGCCAGGCATGGCGTGGGGAACGCACTGTTAATACACAAACATGACCTCTCTGGAAGAGACTGTATACCCCACACGTTTGTTTTCTTCTTTTATGAGAGTGGTAAGGAGAGACAGGAAAGAGACAGAGATACGCGTCTTGACAGGGTCTCTCGCTGTTGCCATTCTCCTGCCTAAGCCTCCCGGCTAGCTGGGACCACAGGCATGCGGGACCACACGTGGCACGTCCAGGTGGCCTGGGAAGTGCGCCCCTGCCTCCTGTGCTGTCCAGCGTCCTGAGGGGCGGTGCGCAGATAGCCAGGCCCCATACACGTGTCGATGATGAAGCATGTGTTTTCAGATCTCTGCTCCCAGATACGCAGGTGTGCACCTAGCTTTCCTTTGCTATGACAGGTATTTAGGTAGGAAAAGATAAGAAATGTGACCAGCATCATTTCTTTTTCATTATCGGCAGAGGGTCTGTGCACTTGCTGGAGAGAGACAGGGAGCAGAAGATAGAAAGCAATAGGTCGTGGTCGTGGTCACACCGCCATCCCTTCTTCCTCGCCGTCCCACCTCGCTGGATTGTTGTGCACGCACACACACGCCCAGTGCATTTTCCAAGCTGTTGGGGCCAAGATTCAAACCAAGTGGTTGGCCATGTAGGGTCTGGCTCCCTTACCCGCCAGGCCACAAGGCCGGCTCTATGTCATCCTGCTCCAGTTCCCTATAACTGCATGTTCCGTTTGGTTTCTAGTATTTCGTTCTCATAAACACCACCGAGAAGAATATCCCTCTCATAACGCCTGCATGCCTTCCCTGGTTATTTCTTTGAGATAAGCTCAGAGTTGGAATTGCTAGATTGAGGGTTGCAGGGTTGAAGGGCTTTGGCACGTTTCACCAAATGGCCAGTGTCTGACGCTCGCTGGTCCTGCAGCAATGCCAGCACAACGCCGCCGGCGAGTTCTGTGAGCTGTGTGCACCCGGCTACTATGGAGACGCCACGGCCGGGACGCCTGAGGACTGCCAGCCCTGCGCCTGCCCGCTGGCCAGCCCGGAGAACATGTGGGTGCCCTTGCTTGAGGCCCGAGGATGAACTCGCGCTGGGGACTAGAGGGCACCATGCTGCCTTTGGGGTGTACGTCGGCGAAGCAGGGTGAGGAGTGGACTTCTGGCCTGACCTTTGCCTCCCCTACCCCAGGTTCTCCCGTACCTGTGAGAGCCTGGGAGCCGGCGGGTACCGCTGCACAGCCTGCGAGCCTGGCTACACCGGCCAGTACTGTGAGCAGTAAGTTTGCAGACGGGGCTGGGGAGCGGGGGCCACACCAGCCAGTACTGTGGGTGGGGGGTGCGGTGAATACAGACAGGTGACAGCCCCAGCTAGTGTTGCTCAGAAGTCTCCATTGTGACCTTTCCCTGCCCAGAGCCCTTCCAGGATGCCACACTGCCCTGGCGACAGGCCTTAGGCAGCCCTTCCATGTTTCAGTCTCATGCTGGGCTTCACTTTTTAAATGTTTAATGTTCAGGTCTTTCATGCTCTGTTCCCTCTGCTTGGGACAGTCTTCACTGCCCCAGACCTCCCCTTCCTGGCTAATTCCTGCGTAACCTTCTAGACAGCTCTGTTCCCTCGATCAGTGGCTGGCGGGGGCTGCTGTGTGCTGTGCAGTGTGCCGAGGGGGTGGGCCAGATTCCGTCCTGGTCCTTACAGAGCCTCGCACCTGTCACAGAGTAGCCATGCAGGACACAGGACACAGGCTGCTCTGAGGACTAGGACACTCTATCCTCTCCTCCGGGCAGCCCCGCATCACTGACCCTGTGCCCTCACAGCTCTCGTTTTACACGTTTCCAGCTAGTCAGTTCCACGGGAGGGCCATCGCATTCACTGTTGTAGCTCCCGCCACGCCAGGTGCCTGACTCGTAGTAGCTGCTTAATAAACAGTTGTTGAATGAATCTTTCCCTGGAGAATACAGGCCTTACCTCCCTCAGTACCCAACCTGCACATACTCTCTTCCGCTCCCTGTTCTTAGCCCACAGAGGTCCTGGTCTCTTTGTCCCCCAAGTCCTCCGTACCCAACATGGGTGGCTGGCTGAGCGTCCAGCTCCCCCGGTCTCCATGAGGCACTGGGATTCTTGGCCCTGACAGAGCTGGTCCTTGTTCCTCCTTACAGGTGTGCCCCAGGTTACGTGGGTAACCCCAACGTGCGAGGGGGCCGGTGTCTGCCACAGGGTAAGTGGCTGCCCACCACAGGGTGGTGGGTAAGGTGGGCACTAGGGGAGACCTGGGAGACAGGGCTGAGGATGGGCATCTGGCTCTCGGGAAGCAGAGCCATCTGAGGCAGTGCTGGGGGCCTCCTGCCTGAAAGGCCTCTCCTGCCCCTACTCTTCCAGCAGACCAGGCCCCGCTGGTGGTCCAGGTCCACCCTGCTCGGAGCGTCGTGCCCCAGGGTGGCCCCCACTCCCTACAGTGCCAGGTCAGCGGGAGCCCGCCTCACTATTTCTACTGGTCCCGAGAGGATGGGCGGCCCTTGCCCAGCAGCACCCAGCAGCGACATCAAGGTACCCACGGCCCCTGAGCCACCCCAGCGGAGGGAGGCATGTCCCTGCCTGTGGCTGCCTACCGGTGTCCTATGCTAGCGTGCAGGGCTGCGTGGGAAGGGGCACGCTCTCTCATGCACCCCTTCCCTCCTGCCAGGTTCCGAGCTCCACTTCCCCAGCGTGCAGCCTTCGGATGCAGGGGTCTACATCTGCACCTGCCGTAACCTCCAGCATACCAACTCCAGCCGGGCGGAGCTGCTGGTCGCCGGTGAGTCCCTGCACAGCCGGTCCTGGGCTGGGCCACAGCCACAGCTCCAAGCCGAAGGTGCACGCATCTGCCCAGAGGGGACAGCGGCCGCCTAGACTGGGTAGTGGCCGTGAGACTGGGTGAGGGCGATGGTGCAGTGAAAGCCCTCCAGAGGCAGCATCAGCAGGACTGACTGGTGGTGAGGACAAGAGAAAAGGATGAGGCCCGGAGGTCCAGGTCCTAGCTGCAGATGGGATATGAGCTGAGGAGAGCTCCTCTCTAGGAGTCTTCACCTGGGTTCCCCGTCATCAGGGTCTGAGACGAGGGTTTGCGTGTGAGGAGGCGAAGGCGGATGGGGAGGGAACGCAGCTCATCCGGGTGTGGGTCAAGCTACTGACCCCCAGGAGCAGTTGTTACTTACATGGGCAAGGAAACGGACAGTGCCCCGCGCCCTGGGTCGGGAGCTGAGGCGTGTGTGCCCCAGCTGTCGGCAGTCACCACCGCGGCTCCACCCCCTGCACGTCTTCGCTGCCCGGCGTGCCCTGTGGTTCAGGGCCTCAGAAAGCTCTGGGGCAGAGAATGCAGGGCTGGCCCGAATCAGCAAAGGGAAGAGTCGGGGGGGGGGGGACGGCCAGCCCCCCCTACCCCGCG